CCTTCAGAGACTCCATGTGGATGAACTCAATTAAGCTTCACAAAACTCCACACGTGAACAATACACGTGGCACAAGACTAAGGCTTCAATCTGGTGCTTTTGGATGTACACTAACATACAGCCTGTAAATTTGGCTGTAACTGAAACAAGATGATTCACACTTGTATTTCAATTGAATTTGAGCAACCTTTTTATATATTTCTTTTTTGTTTGACACTAAAAAAAAATTATTTTTGATGCCCACATCTTCGTTTTTTATACAACTTGCCAACAATAATCTTTAATTGCCAAGTCTTTTTCCAAGTCTTTTTAAATTGCCAAGTCTTTTGCCAAAGTCTTTTTTAATTGGTGATTTGTTAGCTTGTTTTTGGTCTTCGCTGATTTATTATCTATAAATCAGAAGTGAGTTTGCCTATATCCTTGCACTGCTAGAGAGCAGGCATAGTAGACTCCCCTTCCTTACCGCAACTGGAGAGAAAAGCTTTGGTGAAGGAATCACTTTCCTCGTAAATAAGTCAACTGCAATTAGAAGAATTAGCTTTGGTGTTTCTAGTTTCGTGGTATTGTGTTTATCTCTCTCCTCACTTTATACTAATATGTCACATCGACAAAACAACACGAGAGACCCTTGCAATTGATGGTATATATTATCTCTCTTTTAACTGATACCCAAGGTTATGCGCATTATACGCATAAAATATTTCTTCCTAGGCCATATACGCATTATCTATCAAGGTGGCGGCCCTAAAATATTTTCATAAAGACTCCACATACTACCCCTCCAAAGCTTGGAGTACATTTAAAAAAGGGTTAAATACTTTTTGGTCAGTGGGTTCTACATGAAAATTCAATTTGATCACTAAGTAAAAAATTTAACCAAATTGATCACTGTGTTTTTAATAGAAAAAAAAGTGGCAAGAGTCACCATTATTTGGTAACATTTGGTGACTAATACGAGGTTGACTAAAGGCTTTAGCCACCACTTTTTTTGGTCAGTAAAGCCTTTAGTCCCGCATTAGTCACCACTTTTTTCGGTGACTAAAGCCTTAGTCCCGCATTAGTCACCAAATGTCACCAAATAATTGTGACTGTTGCCACTTTTTGGTTTTTGTGTTTGGTTTTTTTTTTTTTGTAGTGTTTCCAAAGTTTACAACTTATAGACATTTTGTTATCTTCAGTTCAATGAAGTTTTTATTTTTATTTTTTTTATGAAGCATCTTCAGTCTTCTTCCTCTAACTCAACAAGTTAGGGTATATTATGTTATTATAAAAAAAAAAAATGGGGGAAATCATGGGAAGAACAAAACGAAATGTCTATAAATTGTAAACTTTGAGAAACACGATGACTAATTTAGCTAAAAATAATTCCCAGTGACCAAAAAGGTATTTAACCCTAAGAAATTACTGCTCTAAATACTATAAAAACCGCACACTCTTGAATCTGAGTCCATTACTAAACAATTGATGGGTATAATATAATAATATATAGATGCTTTATAAATGTTTTGTTCCTAAATTGATAGGAATTATATACGTTCTTAAGCTTAGTACCTCTTAATGAGGCAACAGTTGTTGAACCTAATATACCTTTTTCGTGAGGTAACAGGTGTTGAACTTAACACCTTACTGAGATAATACTTGGGGTTCGTCATTGAGCAGGACCGGTCCGAAATTTTTGGGTTCGTGAATCGTGCCTGGCTTTACATACTTCTTTTATTTTTCGGGCCGAACCAACATACAACCTGTAAATTTGGCTGTAACTGAAACAAGATGATTCACACTTGTATTTCAATTGAATTTGAGCAACATGAGCAACATTTTTATATTTCTTTTCTGTTTGACACAAAAAAAAATTATTTTTGATGCGCACGTCTTCGTTTTTAATACAACTTGCTAACAATAATCTTTAATTGCCAAGACTTTTTCCAAGTCTTTTTTAATTGCCAAGTCTTTTGCCAAAGTCTTTATTCATTGGTGATTTGTTAGCTTGTTTTTGGTCTTCGCTGATTTGTTATCTATAAATCAGAAGTGAGTTTGCCTATATCTATGTGCCCATAGTGGGAATTTACAAGCTAGTTTCTAGCTGCAGCCTTTTTATTTTGGAAGACTGCCCCAACTCAATCTGTGAGTGTGTGTTTAATTTTCTTTTTCTTGTTTGTTTTAACATATACGCTCTCGATTCACATAATACCACCATGGGTCAATTGGCAGATTGAACATGGCAGCTACAACTGTCACTAGTGCAATTCCTAATCCCCCAGTTCTTAACCAGAATAACTATGAAGATTGGAGTTTCCGGGTTAAACTCTACTTGTTAGCTGAAGATCTTTGGGACGTTGTGGAAGCCACCACTGAACCTCCTAAACCAGAAGATGGTGAAGCTGAGTTTAAGGCTTGGAGGAAGAAAGATGCCAAGGCTTTAATTCTAATCCAGAATAATTGCGGGTCTGCTAATTACTCTTTAATCTTTGGCACTAAGACCGCCAAAGCTGCCTGGGATACTTTGGCCGAAAAGCTAGAGCCAGCTCAAGGTACGTAGTCAAAACAAGCATGCATGTTTTACACCTAAATGACTCTGACAGAATGGTGGGCACATCACGAAGCACGGCATCTGTATATATGTATGGTTCGATCTAGGTTACTGTATTTTCATTTTTTATTTTTATGATGGTACAGCTGCAGTAGTAAACATTATTTGACTGTGCACAAGGCTGAGTAAAACTATAGTGCATTTTCTTCCTTCACAATAGGTAGAATTTTCATATTGTGGGTGCTTTACGCATTTGTAATTGAATTTTTAAGTGTTTACTTGTATGTGTATGATTGCTAACAAATTTTTTCATTGAGTGTAGGACATATGTGGCATAAATTTCTCGCAAATATATTAAATGTTTTTTTTTTAAATTGAAATGGTCCCTGAATTTATGCTCGATTTCCATTTTGATAATCTAACTAAATGTTTCAATCCATTTGGTCCTCCAACTCTCTCTTTTGTGTTAAATTGAGTCCTCCATCAAATTTGTTGTCAAATTAGGGGTCAATTTGTCAATTTGTGCTCTAATCTCCTCTAACAACCATTCCATCTTTGTAACGAATATTTCCCTCCATAAGACGTTTCTCTTATAGGATAGAGTTTCAATTTGGGGGAGAGAGTAATGGCTTATGGAGGGAAATGTTTGTTACATAGTTGGGTTGGTCGATTTAGGAGATTAGTGCCCAAACTGATGGTTTTACCCCTCAATTTGATGGTAAATTTGATAAAACTTGATTGGTGGGACCAATTTGACACTAAAGAAAAAGTTGAAGGACCAATAGAGTGAAAAATTTAATTGAATGACTAAAATAGAACTCATGCATAAGTTCAAGGACCATTTCGGTCAAAACCCAAGTATAAAATTATTGTTATATTTCCTTCGTCAATTTATACCTAGAGGGGGCAAAATGGAAATAAAAGCATTTGGACCTTAATTAAAAACTCAATGGACTCGAACCAATATAGAAAAAGAAATGGACTAAATCCAATACCACCTTAAGCTTTTGAGTTGGAACCTAGATGCCAATTGTGTCTATAGAATTACTCATTTTGACTTAATTAATTGATATATTTTCTTATCATGTGTGCGATGCAGAGGAGTTGGTGCCGTTGGTGCCACAGGAAGACTTGAATATCAATCCGACGTCGAATGATGGTATGTAATCTCTTATCTAATCTTTAACTTATCCACTGACTGACAAGAATTTTGTTTGAGTGAGTTGGACGCTGACATTCTTAACAAATAGTAATTTAGTAAAACAATAAAACTTGGCAGGAAATGAGAGTAACACCAGCGACTTCAATGAGTTCGCCCTCCATCAACCCTTCATTGATAATGTGGCAGAGGGTGATTGGGATTTAGCGAAGGAGTATCTTAGTCGAAATCCAGAAGCAATCAGAGAAAGAGGTTCATTATCAGGTGCGACAGCTCTTCACCTGGCAGTTTCGCTTGGATATGTAAATATGGCGAAAGCGTTAGTGGAGTTGATGACGGAGGAAGACTTGGAAATACGGGATGCTAATGGTCTAACAGTTATGGCCCACGCTGCGACTAAAGGAATCACACAATTGGCTAAGTGCATCACTGAAAAAAACAAGAAACTGCTTAGCCTTCCATATCCTCCAGAGAACTTTATTCCACTTCTGACGGCTTATTATCTCGGCCATTGGGAATTGGCTCGCTACCTCTATTCTGTTACTCCACTCGAAGCTCTGTTGCAAGACAACGGCCGCGGTGGTGCTGAGATTGTTTCGGAGAGTTTTAGGGCCAAAAATTTCGGTATGTGTTTCCAATTTAACCTTTTGCCATAAAATAAGATTTAGATTTATTCATTTTTCTTGTCACTCCTCCTCCTCTATCCTACTGTAGATATTGCATTGGATTTACTTCGGCGTTGCCCAAACTTAGCCCTTGCTAAAGGCTACTCTGGGTTGACCCCTTTACAAATGTGCGCTAGTATACGTTCTGGATTTTTAAGTGGAACGCATCTCAAATTCTGGCAACAATGGATCTATGACCGTTAGTACTATATTCTTTCTGCTCTTTATTTAAAGTTATGTCCCTTTTTTTTTTGGGGACTTCGTATAATAATTTATTTTTTTGGTCTAATTAAAATACGAAAGTAAAAGCACAAAATTAAAATCAATACCTCCTTTGAACTTTTCCCAATATCAGCCACCCACACTTTCCACCCTAGTCACCAAATTGATTTTCCCACCCAACCCCAGCAACACACCCCCGCTGGGTTTTGATCTCCCAGCACCCACCAAGCCCAATCGATCTCTATCTCTGTATCTCCTCCCTGATCAATAAATCATGCACTATAGCAGCCAAACCACCACCTGAGCCAACCTACCCGGGGCACTTACCCCCACACCCGACTCTTTTCGACGACACAGAACCTACCCCACGAACTCTCCAAGAATGCCACCAGTCCGTTGTGGCTGATATTCACCTTTTGGATCAGAGCCTGCAGCTGGTGATGGCTGGGCTTACCCCAGTGATTGCAGCAAAAAGCCCAGCGGAAACACAACCCAAAGCCTAGTAATTATCAAGTTTGAATTTTCATTTCTCTCCGGTGATAAAGAAATGATTGAACCGTCTATTTATAAATGCTGTTAACTCCTTAAGAAGACCACGTTATTCTACCACGATGTGTGGCACGTCCTTAATAAAAATGAAACCTCTTCTTGTATCGGTACATCCTATTTCTATTACAGAGATAGTACACAATATAGTAAAATAATATGTTCTCCTAACATCACATACCTATTAGAGATATATTTAGTCATATACCCATTCTTAGCACTAATAATATAGATGAACTCTACACCATTTAATTTCTATAAACAAACTCAAAAAAAAACCCAAAAAATGACAACTGACCCTATTGAATTTAATTTTGATTATTAAATTACTTTGACGCCCTATTGAGTGTTTTGGGTTTTTTTTTAATGAGGTTTTGGGGTTGGATTTGTTTTAAGAAATTAATGGCAGTTTTGTAATTTAAAATAAGTTAAAAGCCTTTTTGTTATATTTTAAATGGGCTTTGCATATGTTTCTAAAGTCCATTTCATATAGGTTTTTTTAATAATTTGGGCTCCTATATCTATATATATAAAGCAAAAGGTAGAGAATGGTAAAACATTCAAAATACCATAAAATGTCATTGGTTAATGCAAATATTAAGAATTGAAATTATCAATTAAATGAGGATAATATGGTAAATTCACACTTTTCATATTTAAAAAATTAAAATTAAAAGATAAATCAGATAATGGATCCTATTTTTATGGAACACAACTACCCATTATCTTTTTTAATTCTAAAATAAATTTTTTAATTTTTTAAAAAAACCTCTCACAGGCGCGGAAGCGCTTGCGCAAAGGCTAGTTGGGTATAATAGTGAATCTCCCTATTTATTAATGTTGTGTATTAAAGAGGTATGGTAAAAATAATGTGTTCTTATACCGTCACTCATTCATTATTGTTGTCTATGCACATGAACTTCCATGTTCACGACACAAAAATCACTATATAGGGGAAAGCTCTTACATCAAAAGGAAACATTTAACGTATGATTAGTCATTTGTTCTTGTGTTGATAACTTGATAGGTATACACGTACAACCTGGTTCAACAGATGATATTCGCATAAATGTTGAAAACGTCGAAGATGACCCAATTAGTGAAAGCGATCTCAAAGTTTGCTCAGGTATGATATATCCGAAAAGTAACATTATGGTTTTTGCTAGTAAATATTGAAATGAATGTGATTGCGTGACATAATTACATGATTGTGTGTGTGACAAAAATTTCTCCTTAAAATGGCTCCATAGAGTAGGACTTTACACAGATTGGCAGAGAGTTCAACCGATCACCGTACCAGATTTTCAGTAGGTCAAAATCTTTTGTTAACCGATACTTTTGGACACAGAGCTATTCTGGAGGTATACTGAACTTTTGGTCGGTTTGGTTTGTTACAAAACTTTTACTGGTCTTTTTTATTTTAATTTCTAGGTTGAATAAGGCCAGTTTTGATTGTTTTGAAGAACAACATTGAGGTTAAAACTTAACATTGTGATCAAAGTATCACATAGTTTATTTATTAAAATAAACCTACTAAGCACTTAATATATGTGGATTAGTTCAGTTGATTAGGCAATGTACATGCCTCCTTATACCTAAGTTGTGTCCCTCCCTGAACGTTATAGTAGTTTAAAATAGCGAATTGTCAACAAAAAATTAAACTGATTAATACCTATTTATCATCATAACCTATCAGACACATCAATAAGAACATAGCAATGTTAGGTATGCTATATTTGCATACCACCTTATGTACTACCTCTCTAATAGGGGTGGAGCCCACTAATACAATGGGGCCCACTAATAGATGTGGTACACAAAATAGTATATAAATGTGGTATGACTAGTACTTTTTATAAGAAGAAGAGAGAGGGAATTATAAGGGTGTGGGATAACATGTTTTGACGTGGCCCACTAACTGCTCCTCATATATGTGTAAAATTTAATAATATGGCACAAAATTTGTGATTAGAATATTCTCTAATGCAAATATATTTTGATTTGCAATAGGTATGGGTATATTGCGAGGACTTGTTCCAAATCCCTGTAACCTTTTTGGTACATATGTTAAATATCCACACTTTGTTAATCTTTTCCTTCAATTTTCAGTACGTATAATTATATTCTCTTAAATCTTATTTTGGTCGTATTCTTTTGAGACTTGGTAATTAATATTGTTTTATTTATGCCATCCTAGGAATTAATCACATATATAAGATGAAATGGACCCACGAAAGAACATCTGAAATTCTACATTCCATGTGCGAAGTGGTAAAGGGTATGAGTCTTAAACAAATGCAAGAAAGTGTCGTGCAAGCAGCAATCTTCGAAGCTATTAAACAAGGGCATGTTGAGTTTGTTTTTGAGATATTTCGATCAAATCCTGTAATGATTGGGCTCACTGGGGAAATGGGAAGACCATGCTTCAGTTTGCCATTGAATGTCGTCAAGAAAATGTCTATTTCTTTTTCTATGAATTGACCCGAATAGTGCTTAATATGGTAGTGAGAATAGATCAGTTCAACAATACGTTGCTACATGCAGCAGCGAGTTTATCCCCAATTGCACAGCTTAATCATATCCAAGGTGCCGCGTTGCAAATGCAGAGAGAATTACAATGGTTCAAGGTCAGAATTTCTCTACACATTTTGAGGATTAGAAAATATTCTTTTCCCTGTTTTTGGTCGAAAAGCATATATTCGAGGATTATAAAATCAGTAATTGCTTCAACGAAATGCAGGAGATTGAAAAAATTGTACCTCCCAAGATTCTTGAGGTTGTAAATGTTACAGATGGCATTGCTTCAACGAAATGCAGGAGATTGAAAAAATTGTACCTCCCAAGATTCTCGTGGCTGTAAATGTTACAGATGGCATGACAGCACGTGATTTATTTACTAAGAACCACAAAGAGTTGGCGAAAGAAGGAGAACGATCGATGAAAGAGATAGCAACTTCTTGTACGGTTGTAGGTGCTCTTATCATTACCATCATGTTTACTGCAGCATTCACAGTTCCAGGTGGAAACAACGGAAATACAGGCATGCCCTTGTTCTTAGGTAAAAAGTTGTTTAAGGTGTTCATAGTTTCTGATGCCCTATCACTCTTTTCTTCCACGACTTCTGTAATGACATTTTTGGGAGTCCTCACCTCACGCTATGCCGAAGCTGATTTCCTTGAATCATTGCCAAAGAAAATGATTATAGGCCTTTTCACCCTCTTTTTCTCCATAGCCACCATGATGATTGCGTTTGTTTCTACCCTTTTTATTATGTTGGGTGAAAAGTCATGGATCGTGATTCCAATCACTTTACTTTCTAGTGCTCCAATCGTCTCCTTTGCATGGATGCAATTTCCCCTTCTTGTTGAGATCTTCATTTCTACTTATGGAGCAGGAATATTTGCCAAAAAACCCAAACCTTTGGAAGTGAACCCCTCTGACATGAATCGATCTGTCTGATTCATAAGGGAAGAACTTGTATCAATATCTCAATTTCAATTCAAATATGGATTATTCACATTTGGATTTTTATGTCATTTTTGCTGATATTTGTTTCTATCAATTTTAAGAAAGTTTTATGGACTTGTTGTGCAAAGAAATACATGATGTACATGTTCCGGTTTTAAGGATTTTTTATATATTTTTTTATAGCTTGTTTGTATCTTCTTTTATTTTTTATTTTTTTATAGCTTGTTTGTATCTTCTTTCGGCCTGAACTTCAATTTTTGTTTATGCGATGCCCAAACTTTGATACAGGGTTTAGTTTCTTTCGTTTCAAGTTCTACTATTATTTCGTGCCCCTTTTATTGTTATTAATTCTGCCTAATTAATGGAACCCAACAATCCTATTTTTTGACCTAACACATTCTTTACACCCACATACAATTTTAGTAAAATTAAAATGCTCTCTCTACAACAATCACTTCTTCCTAAATTACCGTAATTAATCTAAACTCATCACATGACAGGACCCGCCCCGAAATTCCTCGGAACTCGAGACGAATCCTGTGGAAATTCCGACATCTTACCCACGTCGAGCCCACTTACTAAAAACCGAGAATTTCTGCCGAAATTTCGGCAGAGTCTCCCCTGTAAATTTGACTTTTCCCAAATTTTCAACCTGCAAAAATTTAAAACACAGTTTATAACCCAACAGGCAGCATGCACAAGTTATCAACGTGCAAATACAAAATAAGCCTCCGGCCTTCAAATAATTCAAAACAGGACCAGCAATGCTTTTAAGTCGAACAATACATAACCATACAATTAATGATCTTTGAACAACTATACGAATACCCCCAATAATCATTAAACCGGATTCAAATCAATTAACCACATCAAAAATCCGATCACACATTCAGAATCGATCAAACCTTTTAAACGCAATAATATTTCGCGGCTGCACCTAGGAAAGACCCCAGGCTGCCTACTGTCACGGGATGACTTTTTCGGAGTCTTCCTTACGTGCGGCCTTAGACTTGATCGCTTCTCGAACAAGCTAAGTCAGCCTTCCTTCCCACAATCTAAGATCGAATCAAGCAAGAACACAACGCAAGAGCAAGAATGATAAAAACACTCAAGAACGCACAAGAGAGTTTGGGAGAATATATGCTTGTATTGCTGCTCAAATGCTTTACAAGTTGTAAGGTATGCTTTACAAGATGTGAGGTGAGGATACACAATGTTGCATCCTCCTTATATATTGTTCCTATCCCACCTACCACCACAGTAGGTGGCTAAGATACAATGTCACTAACCGAGACTCTACCTACCACTCTCACCAACCGACGTCTACCTACTACTATACATTGAATCTGGACATGTGGGCTAAGAGGTCTAGCATGATCAATCCGACGGGCTGGGCTTTGAACATGCAGGCCGTGACATTCTCCCCCACCTAATCCGGTGACGTCCTCGTCGCCGAGGTAGTTCCTTCTCGTTCGAATGCTTCGATCTAGTCTTTGTACTGCCATAAGGACTCTTCTCCCAATTGCCTTCGGACTCTGGCAGGCCCTTCCATTTGACAAAGTACTCAAAGTATCTCGATACACCTTTGCGTTGCACCTCGCACTTTGCCATGATGCACTCGACCTCCCTGTCAAATGAAGTCCCCATTAAAGGCGGGGCTCGTTGAGACTTCCCACGACTTGGCTCCTCGGGGTCAGCATGGTAGGGCTTGAGATTGCTCACGTGAAACACCGGATGAATCTTCAATCGTAGCGGTAGTTCCACACGGTAAGCAACTCTTCCCACAGTTCGGAGGATAGGAAATAGGCCCTCATATCTCCTCAACAACGCCTTATGCACATTTCTAGTGGACTTGTGTTGAGAGGGGTTGAGCTTCACAAAGACCATATCACCTGGTTGGAATACAACATCTCGTCGGTGCTTGTCCTTTCATTTCTTCATCTTCCGAGTTGCCTTCTCCAATTGAGCCCGAGCTAGCTCATTAGTCACCTGCCAATCCTTGGCCGTCTTGTATGTAGCTGGGCTACTCCCCATGTAGCCCGACACCATTGTGTTCGATGTCATAGGTTGTTGTCCAGTTGCCAACTCAAAATGACTTGACCCTGTCGACTCCGATCACTACAAGTTGTACGAGAACTGAGCAACATCCAACAACTTTGCCCAATCTCGTTGGTCCATGGACAAACTCTCCCATGGTCTGGTTGGAACAGGAAGTGGCTCTAGCAACCCACCTGGCTGCTTCTGCAAGGTCTCGTCTTGTTGGCATACAAGACAAGTCTGCACGAACGAGTCTATATCTTCATTCTCTTAAACGGTACACTTACACTCGGTGTCATTAAGCTTTCGGCTCTCGAAAGCCAATGGGTGTCCATCCTGCATGAGTACACCACTAATTGCAAAATCTGATGCATCAGTGTGTACCTCAAAAGTTTTGCCAAGATCAGGAGGTTTTTGCACTGGTTCCTCCTCGATGGCGTGATCCACCTCTCTCCTTGGTGGTTTGGTGTTGGGCAGCTCCTTGGGCATGACATCTGCAAACCCCTTAAGGACTGCTTCCACTGTTTTCGGGACTGGTTGGACTTCCTTCTCAACTATATTCCTCTTCATAGTTGCAAGGAACGTCGGTTCGCCCTTCTTCCAAAACTTGGAAATTTGCATGGCTGACAAAAGCTTCGACTTGCCTTGTTGCCTCACCACTGGCACCATGCATGGCATTGCCCCACCCTGTGTAATGCACATAATATTTTAAAATGGAATGGGAAATGCCTTTACCTCGTCCATGAACTCCATTCCTAGCACGACATCGTAGTCATCCATCGAGATCACGGAGAAGTCAGCTACTCCCTTCCAAGTACCAATGTCTAGCTCCACACCATGAGCTACTCCATCAATTGGTTTGGCAGTTGAATTCACTATCTTCATATTGCCTGCTTCCTTCGAGACTAGACACCCAAGTCTCTTTGCTTCCTGCACGGACATAAAGTTGTGTGAGGCACCCGTATCCACCAGACAACGGGTTGTCTTGCCATCCACCATGGCGTCGACGAACATCACCCCTTTAGCTTCAACCTGCGGTTGAGTGACTTTGGCCTGTAGGGCATTGAAGCGGTGAATGGCCCCCATTCCGGCTTCCCTCTTGGCCTCCTCTTCCTTCTCCTGGTTCATGGCATTCAAGGCTTTCTTTTGCGGACAATCCCGCATCATGTGCGCTCCATAGCACAAGTAGCAAGCTAGCTTTGACTTGTCTTTCCCCCTGTCACCTTTGTCATTCTTCTTCATGGATGACTTGTGACTGTCAGACTTGTCTCCAGCCTTGCTACCCTCTTCATGGTCTCCCCCACCGGATCCACTGCTACCTTTCTTTCCTTTGAACTTGGAGTCGCCTTGATCATTCCTCTTGAACTCCACAAGAGACTCAGCTGTAGCAATTGCCTCTGACAAGGTTTGGACGTGCCTCCTTTGTAACTCTAGCTTGGCCCAATTCTGTAGGCCATTCATGAAGTACATGAGCTTGTCTTCATCTGTCATGCTAGGCACCTCGAACAACAGGTTGGTGAACGTGGCAACATAGTCCTTCACGTTCCTCGTTTGCTTTAGCCATCTCAGCTTCTCCTTTGCCTCATATTTGGCATTCTCTGGATAGAAATGCAACATAATATCTTTCTTAAACTCATCCCAAGTCTCAAGTGTAAACGTACCTTGGTCAATCTCCATAGATCGACGTCACCACCACATGAGAGCATTGTCGGTGAGAAACAACGTTGCTGTAGTAATCTTGGGCTCATCATCCTCCAACTTGAGGTACTTGAAATACCTTTCGATATTCCACAGAAACGTGTCCAGCTCCTTCGCCTCCCTCTTCCCATCATAGGATTTGGGCTTGAAAGAATCTAGCACCTTCGGTTCCTTCGGAGTCCAGGTCTTGTTCAAGACAGCTTCCTTGCACAGAGCCCAATCTCCCTTCACATCCTTCACCTCATCACGAAGCGCAGTAAGCTCTGCCATGAAATGATCCAGCTTGGTTTGGACATCTAGCCTGATGCTGTCCAATGCGGAGTTGAGGGCTCCTTGGAATTGGCCTTGAAGCTCTTCCACCATAGCTCCGAAACCCTCCTTCATAAGGACATCCTCCTCGAGTCGCTAATCGAACTCGATTACGGCATTCTCCATCTTAGAAAG